CCCCCCACCCCCCACCCGCCACGCCGGCTGCAGCTCAGCCCCCTGCGGTTGGGGAAGCTGCAGCTGGCTACCTGGCCAGGAGTCAGACGTGAGGGCTGCTGAGCCCTGTGGGGCAGCAGAGGCCAGGAGGGGGGCCTGGCCAAGGTGCCTGTCCAGTCATCCCAGGGGCCTGGGTGTCCCATGGCCCCAGCTCCCCTGCCCCCCCCGTACCCCTGTGGGGCCGTCAGCCTTCCGTGGGGGCGTGGGGGCGTCGTGAGGCTCTGTGGGCAGGGCTATGGCCTGAGTGCAGGAGTCTTGGAGAGCGGAGCTCAGAGGGGGCCCGCCCTGCCCCCCCTACTCCCTGGGCCTGCGGTGAAGCTGCTTCCTGGGTGGGGGGCACTGGGGTGGCAGTTTGCGTCCTGGGTGGAACCAGCTCCCAACAGGACCCCCGCGTCCCTGCTCTGTGTGTCCAGATGGGCTGTGAGGTGTCCTGCCACATTTCTTCATGGCCAGCGGGGTGTGAGCAGCCCCTGCTCACATGCTGCCTGTCTCTGTCTAGGGTACCACGGTGGGCGCCATCTGCTCGGGGATTCGTGCCCTGCCGGCCACGAGGATGGTGGCCCGAGACCGCCTGCTCGTGGTGCTCTGCGACCGGCCGTCCTCGGGGGCCAGCGCTGTGGAGGTGGCCATGGTGAGTGCTGGGTGGCAGCAAGCCCACCTGCGCTCGGCCTGCCGGCTCTGGCTTCCGCTCCACACGTGCTGCTGCGAGGTGCTGGGGGCGGAGGCCCAGCCAGGCCGGTCCCTGGGTGGCCCACAGACGCAGGGTTCGGCCCCACAGGTGGGGCACCTCTCGCATCCTCACTGGAGGCTGGCGGAGCCGGGACGGGGGCCTGGGTGGGGGTCGGCGTGGGAGCCACGGCCAGGAGTCCGGGGACAGCGGTTCTGTGGGTCGATGCGTGCCAGTGGAAGGCTGGGCCCACCACTGGGCAGCAACTGGGGCAAGCAGGGGCTGGAGGGGCCAGGAGGGAGCTGTGTGTGCCCCAGAGTGGACAGGAGGGGCCGAGGAGTGGCTCGGGAGTGAGGGAGAAGGTCAGCAGCGATCAGCGTGGCCAGCTTCTCGAGGAACGTGGGCCAAGGGTGTATAGCGCGGGGTCACTCGTTTTATCTGCTGAGATGGGCTGGAGGAGGCAGAGACCTGTCTGCAGGCGAGGCAGGGGCAGGGGTCCACATGGCGTGGAGTGGGGGGCAGGGCTTGGCCTGTGGAAGGGATGGGGGCGGGGTGCCAGGCCAGCCGCCCACAGGACTGGTTCAGGCTCTGGTTGGAGGGTCTCTGCAGCCACGTGGGCACGATGTCAGCAGTGACCCTAGACTTGGAGCATGCCCCTTGCGTCTGGCACCTGAAGCTGTGGCGGTTGGGACTCTGGGCAGGGCCCCCTGGAGTGATGGGAGGCCCTCAGGTGACAGTGGGAGATGGGGCACGGAGGCAGTACCCCAAGAGGGAAGGAGAGTGACCAGGGTCTGGGGTGGACAGCCATGGGGTATAGTTGGAAGGTCCTGGGCAGGCAGAAGTCAGGGGGTGAGAACACCCCAGGACTGTGGGCTGAGGGCTGGGGCTGTGGGGATCAGGAGTCCTTCCGACTGGCGCTCCCGGGACCTTGACTGGGGGTGCTGGGGCCGAGTCTGAGGGCTGGGCTGGGCTGCGGTGCCTGGTGCCAAAGCCAGGGCCCTGCTTGACCGAACAGGGCGGGCAGGGATGTAGGTGGTGAGGCCCCGTGTGCAGCCTCGTCCCCACCCAGCCCTCCGCTCTGCCGGTGCCGTGTTCGCCCGTGTCTGCAGCAGGAGAGGAGCCTGTGGGCTCAGGTCGTCTCTGGGGTGTCCAGTTCAGGCCTGGGCACCTGCCTGGGCCCTCGGCTGGGCAGGGGTTCTCGGCCCCTGGGTGGGCGTCAGGTGTGAGCTGGTAACCACAGGGTGAGGCTGGGCTGGGGGCGGGGGCGTTGGGGAGAGGCGAGCAGGGCCTCAGGGCACGGGCTGCGGGCTAGTGTCTGGCCCCAGCTCCCCTGCCGGGTCGAGGCCGGGGCCACGCGGGTCGAGGCCGGGCTTGCTGTTCCTGCCCCAGATGCCAGCGGTCAGTGGGGACGGCGGGTCAAGCCACCCTCACCTGTCTTTGAACTGGCCGGTGGGGGCCGCCCCTCGAGCAGCCCTGGGAACCTCAGCGGGCTGTGTCTGTGTGTGCAGCTGGACGGGGCCTCGCTGTCCCCTGCTGCCCGGCGGGGAGGCGGGCGCACGCCTCAGCCCTGTCCTCTGCCACAGTCTTTCAGCCCCGCGTGGGACCCGCCGGACAGCAGCCTGATCCAGAGTGCTGCCCATGCCATCGTGGCCGCCATCACCCAGCGGGGGAACAGCTCGCTGCTGCTGGCCGTCACCGAGGTCAAGGTGGAGACTGCGGTCGTGGGCGGTTCCCCTGCAGGTAATGATTGCTGGATGAAGATAATGGAGCCCGACAGTTATGTGAAGAACAGTGAGCCTTGATTTTATACTCTATCATTTATATGGGTATAAATGTACTGACCTCCACGTCAACATGCAGGATATTCGATACTGCTGTTCCCACAGCACCCTTCCAGAGGAATAAAAATAAATAAATAAATAAACTTCACGATAAAATTCCTACAAAGTTACTGACTTATGGACATCTGGAAAAAATCTAAATGTGCGATTATTTTTCTCAATTAACACTGGGGGAGCTTTACAGGAGAGAAGCAGTGACCTGATGGTGGTGACTGGGGTGAGTTTCTATAATAATTCATTGAGTCCTAACTTGTTCAGGATGTGTTTCTATTTACGTGTTTTATTTTATATAAAAACATTTAAAATGAAACCTGTAGTAGATAAGACGTTTCATGGAAAAATCTTCAAAAGTAAACATAAAATATATATGTAAATCCAATTGTAAATCTATGCAATTTACATATAAAATATATATGTAAATCCAATTGTAAATCTATGCAATAGAGACACTAATGGCCCAGTGCTGAAGCTG